CCCCCATTTCCTTCTATAGCTCAGGATTCTGTAGTAGTTTACCGCCCTCCCCCCTCAGCCACAATAGTTGTATACAACGGAGTATGCTATTTTTAATGCTTGTTTAAAAGTCTTGTGATGTTATTTGTATGCAACTCCATCGTGGGCTTAAACTATCGTACAGCTGTTAATCTTGGTTTCGTGTGGTAGCAGCGACGCTTGGATACACATCTGCTTAACAGCTTCCACCACCGTCTGCAGACGGAAGCACGAAAACACAAACAAAACTCCACAGCTGTAGGGGTCTCCCAGCGCCCAGCGAGGGGCGGTGCGACGCTCGGCGAGGCCCCTCCCATCTTCGCGCAGGGCTCGGCGCCCCACCCCTCTCTGCGGGGTCGGCTCCTGATTGGCCGAGGTGCGGGGCGCGCGCGCAGACGCCCGGATGTGCTGCTGCTTCCGGCGCGCTCGCCGCGAGCGATAGGGGGCGCGCACCTTGGGGTTGCGTTGTGTAGAGGCCTGTGCCGCCCTGACTGGAAGATGGGGTAAGAAGTCTAGTCCGAGGGGTAGCCCTAACCCCCACCCCCTCCTGCGACCGGGAGCCGCGTTCCTCGCCGCCCGGAGTGCATCCGAGCGCCCTCGTGGTCGGGGCCTGCGAGAATAGTCGCCGAGGCCCAGGGCGTCGGGCTTCCGTGCACCGGGTGACGGGAACTGGGGCGTCCTGGGGGGAACTCCGGGTCCTACTCCAGGCGCGAAAAAGCCCGCGCGGTGCGGAGCAGGTACGGCTCGGAAGCGAGGGTCAGTTGCGCGTCCGAGCGGGGAACGGCGCAGGGCCGCCCCCTTGCCCCGCATTCAGCCTTTGTCCTCTCCCGGGTGAGGGGCGCTTGGCTTCGGGGAGGCTTTGTGGGAAGGGAGCCCCGCCGTCGCCGCCCGCGAGGGGCGAGGGGCGGGGGACGGGGGCGGGGCGTGGACCGGGCTTTCCTGCGGTGGGGGTGGGGCGGCGGCGGGGTGCGCAGGGGACTGGGGTCCTGCAGGGGGTCGGCGTTCCGGGCTGCTGGCGCCGGGGCTTCCCGCCGCGCCCCGCAGGGGTCGGCGTGGTGACAGGTGCTCGGCCCGCCGCCCATCCGAGCGAGCGCGGCTCCACGCTGGGCTAGACTGGGCTGGTTTCCTGGCCGTTTGACTCAGCTTTTCCTCTTGGGCTGGTCAAGTTTAGACACGTTCCAGATCCGCAGTTGGAGGAGCTAAGTCCTGACTTGTCTCCAGCTGACGCTATTTAAACCCTGTCTTTTCCCAGCTGTGTCCACTGGCCGTTGGGGACGGACCGCTTTGGTCGCCGGCGTACAGCAAATTTTCTGTGTTGATCCAGGTAAGGACCTGTTAGATAATTTTAGTTTATAAAGGTATTGTTGAAAGCCTTGATCTCTATATGTAATTTTGTTTTTTCTACAGATATTTTACTATTTCAAGTTTTTATCGTGCTTTTTTCTTACTTGTAGGCCAATGTGCAATACCAGCATGTCTGTGTCTACTGATGGTGCTGTAAGCACCTCACAGATTCCTGCTTCGGAACAAGAGACCCTGGTTGGTATTTTTGTCTTGTAATTTTATTTATTTAAATTTTTATTTTATTTTTTGGGTCTCATAATTTTAGAAACTAATACGTTTCATGAGGTGATCTTTCCATAAACCAGATTATAGTAAGGCTTTTAAGTGAAAGTGGATGTGTTTTAACTTAAATTTTACTTTCTCAGGTTTAATGGCATGGAGTAAAATCAAACTGTTAAGAGTTAGGATTTTCTTAGACCATCACCACATGTGTTTTAAGAGTTCCATTACATTGACAAACTTGATGATGATATGCTGATGTTTATCGTGTGGCCCAGTTTTTCTAGTTTGACCTTTCATTCTTTAACTTTAAACAGTTTTTCTTTTTTTTTTTTCGGAACTGGCAATTGAACTCAGGCCCTTGTGTTTGCCAGTCAAGGGCTTATTCTGCTGAGCCATCTTCCTGGCCTCTCCCAATTAGTTTCAAAGAGTCACAAAACTAGTTCATGTTGGTTGTAAAGATTTTTGGCATTACAGAAAGAAATATGCAAAGTGAAACCTGGAAATTCCAGTGTCGTCTTCATACCTCCTTTTAAGGTATTTTTTTGTGTGTGAGATACATAGTGTATTAATATGTGACTTTAAATGTGCTGTTTTACCGAAACAGGATTAAACTAGAGGTGCTCCACAACTTTCCAATAAATAAAAATCTGTAGGATTCTTTTTAATGACGGTATATATACCATTTTTAGTTTATCATACTTTCACTGATATTTATGATGCTGGGGAATCCAGCCACATGCTAGCAGATGCCTAACCACTGAGCTACAAGGATAGTCTGGGGTTTGTAATTCTTCTGCCTTAGTCTTCTGACTATCGGGTTAGAAAGAGACCTAGCCCCTACTCCTAGACTGACCCGTTTTTGATTGCGAAAATAGCACTGCTATGTGCATAATTCCTAACATAGTGTTTATTCATTTCTGTAAAAAAGATGTAGAATTACACATTTGATTGCCACCATTACCCATCACAGATTCCTGACAAGGTAGGCGTGATGGTGCACACATGTAATTCCAGTAGGAGGCTGAGGCAGGAGATCTCTGAGTTTGAGACCAGCTTATATTACAAAGTAAGACTCTTGACTCAAAAAAAAAAAAAGTGATGGTTTTCACTCCTGCCAGCACTGAATATTATCAGTCTTTAAAGATTACATATGTGTTTGTGGGATAGAGTGTGATACTTTGATGCATTTATATATATAATGATAAAATCAAGGTAATTATCATTTCTCTGTCCTTAAATACTTAAAGCCCTTTGTTGGAAACGTTTGAACTCCTCTCTTCTAGTACTTTATAAAATATATAATAAGTTGATATGAACCAGTCTTCAATATTACTGCCTTTTTGGGGTAAAAGGTATCGTTGTGTTTAAATTATATGTCCCAGGTCTGGTGAGGCTGGCCATCTTCATTTTTGAAATCTCTTGTTCTGGGATTTGCCCGCTTTTGTCCATTCTTTGTTATTTTTCTTTGTAACTTGATTTATCTGAACTTCAAGTGTATTGAGTATTTGTTGTTTTTAATACTCCATTTAAATTGTTTTTCATTGTGAACATTTTTATGAAGGTAGATTTGTTGGCTTTTGAATTTTCATACCATTCTTTAGACTAACTTTCTCATCCTAAGATTATGCAGTTATAGCTTATATTTTCTAGTATTTTAGAGTACTTGTATTATCTGGTGTTTTGTATCTGAATGTACTTTCTAGTATTGTATTTTCTAGCATTTGTATCTAAATATGTTTATTTTCTAGTATTTCTCGTATTTAATAGTATTTTGTGTCTTAACTCTTTATTACATGGAATTTTTTTCTTCTGAATTATATAGTTGCATGATTGGTGCTGGAGTAATGTAGCTCAGTGGTAGAGTGCTTGCCAAGCATGTATGAGACCCTGGGTTTGTTCCTCAGCACTGGAAAGAGGATTTTATAGTTTTCTTTTTTTAAATTTTTTCTTATTTTAGAGGAAGGGTCTACAGGGTGTTCAGGTTCTCACTACTAGATCGTACTCATAGTGATTCTCCTGTTTACAGCCTCCCAAGAGCTGGGATTACAGGCGTGTACCACTACTCCCAGTCACAGTTGCTGTCTCAGCGCTTCCCGGAGGCAGGGCTGGCACAGAAGGCCTGGGGATGGAAGCCCTGGCCCCTGTGTGCCTGCAGGCACCTTAATCTGCTGAGCTATTTGGCCGGCCCTATAGTCTTCTTGTTCATGTTTTGTAAGAATTGAAAAAAAAATTTAAGTTTACATTGCAAATTGAATTTATATAATTTTATATAGTATAGGGATGGCAAGATAGCCCAGCTGTCTAAAACGCCTGCTTAGGCAAATTTAGGCAAATGTGTGGGACTGAGGTTTGATCCCCAGCAATACATGCCACGCCAGCCCCGCCCCAGGGTGGACTGAGCTGGCCACAAAATAAATTTATATAGTATATGTAAAAATTTGGGGGGTGCTTACACTAAAATTGAAATGATACAGAGATTAATATGGCTTCTGTACAATTTATATAAAGATTGATGAAGAAAAATAGGGGAAAACAGTAATTTTCACATCTTTTCCAAGGCTGTTCATGCTTTAACCAGAAAGTAAAGTTCGTATGTAAATGTGTTTTAATAAGTATTTTAGAACAAATAATGATTTAGTCCTTTCAGTGGATTTTTTCAGTTAAGCTGTTTAGCTAGAAATAGACAATTTTCTTAAATCTGCTTATGAACATTAGATCCCAAATGAGGATGCTGTCAGGATTAAAGCATTGCAGATACAGTGGTTTCTGTGGTGGTGGCAAACTAGAGTACATTTTTCAGATGTTGAGCAGCAACAGGAAGGGAGACAGAGCATAAGCATGTTACATCATCCACCTTGCAGGTTATTTTCTTAATATTACTTGGCAAAACTTCTACTAGAGTTGCGCTGGGGAGATAGCTCAGTGGAATAAGTGCTTGCCTGGCAAGTGCAAGGTCGTGAGTTCAATCTCTGGTACCACACACACACAAAAAAATCCTTCCAGACTAGCATCAGGCACAGTAATAGCTTTTGGACCAAATTTGGCTTGTTGCCTGTTTTTCAAAATAAAATTTTATTGGAATGGCGCCATGACCATGTTATGTAAACTCTTTTAAGTTGGACAGATTTATCTTCACATGAACAGCATAGGAAAAAAAACTGACCTCTGATATGGTTGACAGGCTCTTTGAATACAAGTCTTTTTTTTTTTTTTTCTTTTCAGATCCTATCAGTGGTGCATAGTAGACAATAAATGTTAAGTAGCTATTTGAAATGTAGGCCAGATAGAAAGAAAATGCTAAATTGTAGTTAAGGAACATGAGTTGTGGTGTTAGATCTGTTCTTAATTGTACTTGTCAGCTTTGGGTTAAATTTTTCAGTGCCAGGAGCTAGTTCTCAGGAGGGTGGTAATAGGGCTTACCTTATTTTTCCTTTGATTCTATAAGTTCACTTACAATAGGCTTATTTGGGGGCCAGGGAGATGGCTCAGTAGAATAAGCACTTCCCTGGCAAGTACAAGGGCCTGAGTTCAATCCCCAGTTCATCTACAAATAAACAAAACCAATGGACTTATTTGACCTGTACAGTAGGGTAAGCTTCTTAGATCTCAGCCACTTATTATAAGGCAGCAAGGAAATGATAGAAATAACGATAGCAAAAACAATATTCACCATCTTGCATTGGTACTGTTTTTGATTACAACTAATGCAACTTGATAATTCCGTATTTGCACAATAATTAGATCTTCCCTAGAATTTTTTTCCCACACCCCAGGATATCTACGTCGATTCAGTTTGCATAGTCTGTTCCCTTTAGTAAAACCTTGTAACTAATTTTTAGGGATCTAACTTGGTGAAAGTACTAAACAGTGTTTGCCACCTTTATTGAATTTCCTTCTCTGTGTATTTGTTTCAGGCCTTACAGTTTATAGTGATTCTGCAAGTACAATAGCAGTTTTTTTTTTTCCTTTATAGGTTAGACCAAAGCCATTGCTTTTAAAGTTATTAAAGTCTGTTGGTGCCCAAAAAGACACTTATACTATGAAGGAGGTAAGTTGAGCCCCCCCCCCCAAAAAATGTCTTACTAGTTGTGTATTATCATAGTTTTTAAAATCATGGGAGAAATTAGGCATTTAGAAGGATTTTGCAATAAGCAGCAGTACTTTTGTGGTCTTTCGGTCTATATTTGTTGCTAAAAATTCTAATGTTTGCATGAATTTTATTTCTTAGAAATTCAAAGACAGAGGTAAGCTTAGGAGGAATTTTTGGTCTTTTTGTGCTGTGAACACATTTGACAAAGTCTTCAGATTGTTAACTGCTCAGAATCATTCTTTTTTTTGCGGAACCGGGGATTGAACTCAGGCCCTTGCGCTTGCCAGGGAAGCTCGTATTCCACTGAGCTATCTCCCTGGCCCCAGAATCATTCTTTAAATCCATAAATTAAAGTAAATATGATTATAAAACTCAAAATATAGCTATGTAAATATGAGGAATTTTGTAATATACTTTTAAAGTTAATGTTAAATATTGAAATTTAATGGCAGATATGTTTCTGTGTTGTGAGACATCGAAGTATTTTGATGTGCTTGCCATGAGCAAGCATGATATGAAAACTTAAGATTTTTATTAGTGACAAAATCAAAAGTACTAATAGTGTTGTGATTTTTTGCCTACGTTTATTTATTTATTTTTGGCGGAACCGGGAATTGAACTCAGGCCCTTGCGCTTGCCAGGCAAGCACTTATTCTACTGAGCCATCTCCCTGGACTCTACATTTATAATTTAAGGAGAAACTAATTTTTAATTTGAATTGAGAGAATAAAGATAAAATTGAGGGGGTCCATTAATTTGAATTTGAAAAATTCTATCTGAGGACTTCTTGGGCATCCCTGGCTCCCAGGTTAAGAACTTCTGCACTAGAGAGGTACATGAGTACAATTTACTGTACTGACATTCTGGGATAGAGGTGAGCTGATTCTTGAGCATGCTCTGTTTAATGGGTATGACATTCAAATATTCAAGTTATCCACTTTGCAGTTCATAGAATGATTTTAGTGAGACGAGGCCATTGTAGGCAAAATTTCAGTGATATGTCTATTGTCCATCTTTCCTAGTTTATGGGAATTAGATTACTTAAAAATACCAAACTTCAGTAGGGTGATGAGGTAGGAAGAGAGTGCAGATCCTTTTCATTTACATGTTCATAAAGTTCGTGAAGCGATGTTAGGAATATAGATTTTTTTCCTTCCGTTTTCACTGCCTATCATCCATCCAGCTCCAATCCATAATCCTAAAAGATTGTTTTCTTAAGATTGACTCTTGCTTAGCCGGTTAAGTTCCTAGACAGTACTTGTAGGAAATTACTAAGGTAATTGATATTTTTAGGGCAGTTAACCTGGAATTGACTTTATAACATAATCTGTTAAGGAAATAAAGTTGAGATTTAGCAGTATGTAGCAATTAAAAAACTGACCAGCAAAGACTTGAATGGTTACGCTGTGTAGTAGTAACGTATTAATACTGGTTCCAGGACTTGCCCCACACCCATGTTCAAGTCCCTTAAGTTCTCCCTTTCTGAAGGAAAAGATTGAAAAGTAGCTCCTTTTACAAAAATACAAAATAGTTGTTAAGTCTACCTGGTTGAGGTTGCTGGTTTAAGCCTATTAGGTAAATGGGTCATTATTGCAGTGTCTCACTATGCAGCTCAAACTCGCAGTGATCCTCCTGTTTTCAGCCTTCCCAATGCTGGGATTACAGGTGCGTGTCACCATGCCCAGACTCAGTCAACAGCTCAGTACACCTGGTGACGGGGCCAGCTTGGCATGTGGTGCTAGGGATCGAACCCCAGTCACTGCGCTTGGCTAAGCAGGCACTTTAAGTCTGCTGAGCTATCTCACTGGCCTTAGTGGGTCATTATTGAAACTAACAGAATTTTTTTTTTAAAATGCTCAAAAATCATATTTTTATTTCAGGTCATATTTTATCTTGGCCAGTATATTATGGCTAAAAGATTGTATGATGAGAAACAGCAACATATTGTGTATTGTTCGAATGATCTTCTAGGAGATTTGTTTGGAGTACCAAGCTTCTCTGTGAAAGAGCACAGGTAAATTCTGTTTAGTCCATCATCAAAAACTGGCTGGGCAAACATTGTAACTTACTTCTACCCACATACCCTTTTTTCAAAGGTGAATTGATATACTATATATAAAAGATGCTAATGTTTAGTTCTTTTGTGTGTGGGGGATGTTAGGTATCCAGTGAGGGCCTCCATGCTGGTCAGGTGCTTTATTGCTGAGCTACATGCCCAGCCCTGAAGTTTGGTTTCTGAGCTCAGCATATTGTTTGAGAATCTGAGCTCTGAAATCGTATACCTGTGTTTGAGAACGAGTCCTATCATTTATTAAGATTGTGAATAGTTAAGTTGATGTAACCTCTAAGCCATAGTTTCTGCATTTATAAAATGGGAATAATGTAAGTACCCCGTAAATGGTTATAAATACCTCATGAAGAAACATTGTGTAAGAAGCTAGTGTTCAGCACATGGATAGTATTACTATATTAGCTAGTTACTTTATGTTATTCCCCTCATTTCCAAAGGTTTTTATATTATCACCATGTAATAAAGGCTTAAATTTGAGACTTAATTTGGATATCCCTTCTTTTGGCCATGTATTAATGACAATTAGCTTTTAATTCAGCATTTCTAGAATAATTCTACTGGCAAGTAAAAACTTTAAGTCATTCTTACCTTACTTTTGGAATTTGTATTAAGCATAGTCTGTGTTGACTCTTAGAGGGATAGATGCTTTCTGTCTGAAACAGGTTACAAGGTTCTAGTATTTACCATGTTCCTGCCAGTTTCAACAACCCGTAGTACATGACTGTTGCATTGGTTGACTTGTACTAGGACTAGTTCCTTTTATTAGTGTTGTTTACTAATAAAATAATAAAAACCAGCTGATAGTCTTCCATATACCACTGGTGGGTCAGGCCTCTTGGAAGTGAGACATACAAATTATGGCCTGCTTTTGTACCTGTTAGTGGTCAATAATATAGGGACTGGGGCTATAACTCATTAGTAGAGCACTTGCCCAGTGTGTATGAGGCCTTGGTTCTATTTCCAACATCACAAGAAAAAAATGTTAGAGCTAAAAGAAGTGTTACTCAATGGGATATTTCTTTCTAAGCATAATGTATGTTAGGAAAGACAGCATTCAAGAAAAGTAGGACGCAAAAAAAGTACGACCAAGTTGTAGTTTGTCTTCAAAAAAAAAAAAAAATCTTAATTTTTGTGGTGCATGCTCAACAGATGCTATTATCAGTAGGTTACATCCTAAGTCTTCATTTTAACAGAAACATCTTTACTGTTTCTGTATCATGTTTTATGCTTGGCTTAGAAATAAAAGATTTAATACAAAACAATTGATTTTATTATTTGAATATTCAACTTTCTAATACTGTTTGTAGGTATTACTTTGATATTCAAAGCATAATCTTAAGATTATTCTTGATTTTGAAAACTGGGAAAATGAGATAAAAAAAGGGTTTGAATAGGAAAATTGATTTTTGTGGGTTTAAGTTGCTTTTGGGCTGGGGTTGTAGCGCCTTGGTATAGCATCTGCCTACTAACTCAAGGCCTGGGTTCTATCTCTAGCACTGCCAAAGAAAAATTTTTCTTAATTGTCCTCAAGAGTGAAAAACCAGTTGGGGTTGGTAATTAACCATGAGGATGAAAATTGCTGTCTTGATAAATATAGTCTGAACATTAGTTTAAAATTAAAGGAAAGAGAGACTTCAATAAATACTGGAATATATTAATTCTGATTAGCATGTAAGTTTTACAGGAGCAGAACTTTTTTCATTCTTTTACAGTAACTGGTACGTGGTTAAGTTCTCATTCTGTATTGGTGATGAGTACTGCTTTATCCTTTAATCATTTTTACAGTCACAAAAGAAAATCTGTTAAATTATTGGTCTAAGATTGATTTAATTTCTATCTCAAGTAGTTTGTTTTTAAGCATAGTGCTGGGAAGTTTTTGTTTCAATAATTTGTAGTCAAATAAGTTCAAAAGTTAAGAATATTTGTAGTCAAATAAATAGGCTAACCTCCTGTTTGTACATCCCTATTCCTTTGGCTCTTTTGCTGAAATCTAAACAGAAAGCATTTATCAAAAAAATGGAGCTGTTGCTCTTTGAGATAAACTGTTGGGATTATGGATAGTAGCTGTCCAGAATCTTTGTATTGCTAATTATTTTAGTGCTTTGTAGGGCCTAGAAGTTTGCCGGGGATGTAATACTGATTTAAAATATAGTTTTGAGTATGTATAGTGGTTTATCTACTAAATATACAGGTAAAAATATGGTTCAATTCAGTTTAATGAAGTTTTATCTAAAAATGTACATCTTTTGATTTTTTTTTTCTTCCAATAAGGAAAATATATACCATGATCTACAGAAACTTGATAGTACTCAATCAGCAGGGTAAGTTAATGTTGAACACACTACACCATGAAAACTTTGGGGCTTTGAATATATCTCAGTTGTAGAGTGCTTGCCTAGTATGCATAGTGTCCATACAACCTTGGGTCTTGATCCCCAGCACCATACTTCACCCCCCCCCAAAAAAAAAAAGCAATTTGAAGATGTTTAAGTATGTTGTCTGTGTTTTGTAATTGTGGTTTTCCATGTTCAGTTTTTTTATTTTAATTTTTTGAATTGGAGGTCTCATTTAAGTTGGTTAGGCTGGCCTCAGACTTATAATTCTGGTTCTGTCTCTTTAAGTAGCTAGATTTCCATGCATGGCTTTTCTTGATCAGTTAATTTTATAGTGCTGGGGATCAAACCAAGGGCCCTCATGTATACTAGGCAAACTGAGCTGAACCTCATTCCTATGGTTCTCTAAGTGACTTTTATGATATTTTAGTACTATGGTAAACTAATAGGAAGAAATATTTACCAACTGAATGTAGTAACGTTCTAACATGAGGTTAAAGACCCTATTATGTCATTTTAAGCCTTACAGTGTCAGAGTTAGAATTTATTTTGAAAAGGGGTAATTTCAAAAGTTTCTGCTCAGTAGAGGTCTGAGAAGACTTGTTCAAAATGTATTGAAATGCTTTGTAGGAAGCAATACAGTTACCTGCAGAGGACCATTTGAAAGGATGGATATCTTTACCACTCCCACTCTAATCCCTTCCTCTGCAACAGACAAAAATTTTTTTTATCAGTTTTTGTAGATAAGTGGCATTTTATGTACCTACTGGGAGTTCTTAACTGGCCATTCTTGGATTCTATCTTCCTTTGGGAATCTGATGACAGATTTCTCATTTCAGAAAGATATACATGTCCGTATGCATATGCTGTATGTATATATGTGGTGATAAATTGTAATATATGCTTGTATTTTTTTTTTTTTTTTTTTTTTGGCGGAACTGGTGATTGAACTCAAGCCCTTGCACTTGCCAGGGAAGCAATTATTCCACTGAGCCATCTCCCCGGCCCCTTTATTTTGTTTTTATTTTTTTATTTTTTGGCAGAACCAGGGATTGAACTCGGGTCCTTGCACTTGCCAGGGAAGCGCTTATTCCACTGAGCCATCTCCCTGGCCCCATAATATGCTTTCACTATTTATAACCTGAAAATAGCAGCAGTTGTAACAGAGGAACTAGCAACCACTATAAGTGAGGGTTTTTTTCTGGAAAGCATATTTAATGTACCACCAAATAATTATTTTGCTGTCTTCTCTGTTAGTATTATCTTTAAAACTTTTTTAATGTACTGTATAAACTTTCTTTATTGAGATAGGGTCTTTTTTTTAAAAAAAATTATTTATTTGTGTGTGTGTGTGTGTGTGTGTGTGTGTGGCCAGCTCAGCCCACCAGGGGGTGGGGCTGGCTGGCATGTGGTGCTGGGGGATTGAACCGTGGTCCCTGTGCTTTGCTAAGCTTGTTCTAAGTAGGTGCTTTAGACCACTGAGCCATCTCACCAGCCCGAGATAGGTCTTGATATGTAGTTCAGACTGGCCTTGAACTGTGTAGCTCAGGCATACTTTGAACTAAGTGATCCTCCTGCCTCAGCCTCAGAAGTATTGGCATTGCCAGCTTGTGCTACCACACCTAGCTTATATATGCTCTTTTCTGTATTTTCTGTACTAAAATTTAATTATTTATATTTGTAGTATTTAGCATGTGAAAGGCAACTAAGAAGTAATATGTTTAATGTCTGTTGACAGGTTAAACTTTCGTGGTGTTTGTGTTGGACTGGTGTCTTTTTGAATATCCCTTTTTTTCCTAGTCAGTGATTCTGTTTTGTTTTCTTCCAGAACCATCAGACTCTGGTACATCTGTGAGTGAAAACACGTGCCTCCTTGAAGATAGGAGTGACCAAGAAGTAATCTTTTAAATAAATTTATTTGTCTCATATTTCTTAAGAATTGGAAAGGCTATATAAAACAGATTTTTTATCTTTCATAGTGTTTTAAGTTTAATTTGTCATATTTTACTAATTTCTTAAACGCTTAGGACCCTGAGCAAGATCTACAAGAAGGGAGTCCTTCATCTTCAGATTTGGTTTCTACACCATCTACCTCATCTAGGAGGAGAACAATTAGTGAGACAGGTAGATACATGTACATATATGAATATTTATTTGGCACAGTGAATGGCTGTTTGATGTTCTTTCTGTAATGAAATTAATGCTTTTAAGCATAATGAAATCTGCTTTTTTTTGGTTTAGTTGAATGAGTTTCTTGCTTTCATATGTTATTTAATTTATACAGTGCAATTTTAGCAGGGTTTTTTTTGACTGTAGGTGTAGTTTACATAACTGGAGTTTATCATTACAAAGTTCTCTGTTACCACAGTAACAAGGTGAAGGATGTATACTGTATTTAAGCTGTTATTCTTAGTTACTATATCACCTCAGTTGTTTCAGTTATTTTTAATAAGTGAAACAAGGGGGAGTTTTAAGACAGATAAATAGCAATCCTAGAAATGAAGAGATAAAGAAAATAGTTGAGAATGTGTTTCCATGAAGCAGAAAAGTAGAAAAGAAGGCTATTGCCTGATCAGAATCTTAACAGCCAAAACTGTTAGTTCAACAAAGTTTGATCAGTGAAATAGAATGTAGAGAAACCAAGAGTAGAATGTTACACATGAGAACAAAGGACATTAGACGATGTCTTAAGTACACAAACCTAGAATAAATTGGATAAGTTATTTGGGGCAAAAAAATCAACTTATATTTGTAACTTCTGACAGCATGAATTCCAAAAGAATTTAAAGATAAATGAAAACTAGGCAAAGTACAGTATATTTGAAAGATAGTCACTTTCAGTGTTAATATTTTTCACAGTAAATATAAATGACTAATAGGATTTTTAAAAATACAATTTTAGCTTCTTGGATAATAAATGCAGGCAAGGTATCTTGGTATGTCATCTTGCTGTATCACTTAATATAGTGGGTTAAATTCTTACGGATTATAGACAAACTCAGTTCTTCCTGTTAGCCTAGTAACTACCCTCCTGGGGATCTGTCCTAGGAATATTATACCAGATTGAAGTAGAGGCCATCTACTCTAATTTTCCGTAGGACTTTGAGCACGAATGAGTGTTGGACTTTGTCAAAAGCCTTTTCTGCATCAATGGAGATGATCATGTGGTTTTTAGTTTTCGCCCTATTGATACAGTATATTACATTTATAGATTTTCAAATATTGAACCATCTTTGCATTGCTGGGATGAATCCTACCTGGTCATGGTGTATGACTAGGAATATTATAATACTAGAAATTCCAGGATTTGAATGTAGAAACATAAATTACAATAATTTCTGTAATTAAAGATACACCATTCTAGGCCTGGTGGCACCTGAGGAGGAGGCAGAGGCAGGACAGTTGCTGTGAGTTTGAGGCCAGCCTGCACTATACAGTGAGGGTGTCTACCTTCCTCTCTCCCTCTTCGTTCCCTTTCTTCCCTTCCCATCCCCCCTCCATCTCTTCTACTTGTCCCCCATCTCAAAAAAAAAAAAAAAAAAAAAAAGACATGTCACATATAGTGGTGAGAGAATATCAAATCTAGATGCCTTCCCCACAGCAGTTCTCTGATTCTCTTGCTCTATTCTTTCATGGTGCTGAAAAAGATCATAAAGTATAAATTGAGCTATGTCACTTAGCTATTCTTTGGAAGTATTGGAAATTAAACCTGGGGCTTTGTGCAAGCTATGCTTGTATTACCACCGAGTGATATCTCCAGCCCCGTGGGACTAGGCTTGATAGTTTTTTTTCCTAACATTTTGCAGGATTATATTATATTCCATACTCTAATATTAAAATAATGCTTTTTTGCTGGACATGATGTAATCCCAATCCTCTGGAGGTAGAAACTGAAGAATCTGGAGTTCAAGACCAGCCTGCCAAAAATTAGACAAAAAGGAGGGCTGCAAGGAAAGCCAACATTTTGGCTCTAACCTTCCAAAGTCAATTAAGACTCAGGACATATGAGAACTTGTACTGTAACAACATGTAACTCAGTTGTGTCCCAAATTTTCTGATCAAGGAGATTATGGGGCCAAAGGGGAAAGTGACTGATGATGTAGAGTGTGCCTAAGGAGTGTCTCATGGAGAGAAAACTTTCTCTCAGGCCTTCACAGAGAGCACACTGGCCGAGCAATGGCTGTGACTCATCCACATGGCTGACAATGACAAAGGATTTACAATCTGAGGTACAGGGTCTCAGGATAAATCCTGAGGAGATTTGACTGACCTTATCAGATCCAAAAGCTACAATTCTTGTTGCATAGGTCTTGCTTTATCTTGGTCTTAACCATTCAGCAGAAAAGTATAAAAACGAAGTACAAGAAATAAAGCTCTGTTATGTTGAGCTGCAGTGGATTCAGGTCAACAACTTCTGACATTGCCAGTCAAGTGGAAGACCCAATACTATTATGGACTGTTGGACTGTTTTGGAATATTTTGTTGAGTTCACACACCTATAATATTTAAATGATGGAATTAAACAAGAGGGATATAGATGAATGACTGTTTTGTATCTGTGTATTCAAAATGGTTAGGATAGATATATGGCTACATTCTCTTGATTCACGGAATAGAGGGATTTGGTCTAATAGTGTTTATAAATAGATTATCATGTCCGCATCTTGTACAACCAATAACCACTAGGAAGGCAGTATGCTATGTGTTAATTATTGGAACTGTCCTACCAATTTGATTTGAAACTCATTGCTATTTATTTCTCAATAAAATTATGGGGGAAAAAAAAAAAGACCAGCCTGGGCTATAGAGTGAGTTTAGGGTCAGCCTAGAACTGCTCTGTGTGTGTGTGTGTGTGTGTCTGTCTCTGTCTGTCTGTCTGTCTGTCTGTCTGTCTGTCTGTCTGTGTCTGTGTGTCTCTCACGAACAAAGTCCAAAAAACAGATTTTTTTTTTTTTTATGGTACGTTAGTGTAAAGGCCCTGGGTTCCGTTCTCAGCATAGCAGAAAAAGCCATCAACATTAACAGCAACAGCAACAAAATCTTTTATAGGTAGTTGGATGGTTTTGTTCTTCATGTTTGGCTCTTAGCTCTTTGGAATTTTTTTTTTTTTTTTTTTTTTGGTCTGCTTGGGCTCAAACCCAGGATTTTCCGCATGCTGGTCAAGTGCTATACCGCTGACCTACATCCCAGTTCTATTGAGATTTGTTTCGTTTCGTTTCTTTTTTTTTTTTTTTTTTTTGAGACAGGGTCTCACTATGTAGTTCAGGCTGGCCTTGAACCTGTTATGGAGTCCAAGGTGTCCTTGAACTCAGGGTGATCTTCGTGCCTTAGCCTCCCCAGTATTGGGATTATAGGTGTGTGCCAGCACGCTGGCCTTTAGTATCTATTTTTATTTCTAGTGTAAGGTATAATTCTGATTTATACCTGATTCAACTAACATTTTAACTTTGGTTTTCTTGGAATGGGAGCATTATTGAAGATTGAACCCAGGGCCTTTACACTGAGCTACATTTCCAGCTCTTTAAATTTTTTGTCTTTTGAGATAGACTCTCTCACTGTGTATTTCAGGCTACTCTTGAATTTATATGACTGAATTCATGATAATCCTGCTTCAGCTTCTTTAGTGCTAGAATCAAAAGCATGGCCCACTATGCCAAATCTAAAATTTTTTATCATGAGACATGATCTCACTAGGTCACCAAGTTGCCCAGGCTTGCTTAAATTTGTAGTCTTCCTGCCCCAGCCTCTCAAATGGCTGAAATTATAGATATGTGACCATGCCTGGCTACATTCTGACTTTTTAAGTCCGAGATAATTTACCATTTAAAATATGGAGAGTTTTTCTTTTTTCATTTATGTATTTGGTACAGAGTCTTACAATGCAGCTTGTACTCATAGTGATCCTCCTGTTTTCAGCCTCCCCAGCACTGGGATTACAGGCATATGCCACCACGCCCAGACTCGGTCACTGGCTCAGAGGGCCATGGGGGCAGGACCGGGGATTGAACTGGTTTTGACTTCTTTTGGAAATACAAGGTACCAGCTAGCTGCAATGGTGTAAAACTATAGTCCCAGCTGCTTGGAGACTTTGACAAGAGGATTTCTTTTCTTTTTAGGAGAAAAGGTTGAGCATACCTCATGGTTTGTAGAGGTTTTAGTCCATAATTAGCTGGCTCCAAGGCAGGGTGGTGTAGCAGAGAGAGATTGCAAAGAAGCAATAGCTCATGGTGGGCAGGAGGCAGCAGTGTAAGCAAGGGATAAGAGGATTTCTTGGCCCCAGGGATTTGAGGCCAGCTTGGACAACCTAGGGAGACCCAGTCTCTTAAACTCTGAAGTAATGAAGACCAATAACCTTATGCTCTGGGCTGATGTGTAGCTCAGTGACTGTGACTATCATGTGCCAGGCCCTAACTTCCATCTGCAACACTATAGACAAACTAGGAATGACCCCAAAAACCTGAATATTTTCTATATAAGTTAAACATTAAAAAAAAGAAAGTACTTCCTGAAATTTGGTTTTCATGACACAATTGAAGATTGATTAGTAAAAGTTCTAAAAAGTTTAAATTTATTATAAGATAAAGTTCTAAGGATTAGAAAACAGATTCTTTTTCTTTTTCTCAGTATGAGGGGGACAAACCCAGGGACCACTGAGCTATATCCCTAGCCTTTCTTAAAACTTCAGTTTGAGATATGGCAGGCTGGCCTCAAAACATAAATTGTTCTCCCTCAGCTTCCCAAATAGCTAGAATTCAGGGTTGTACCATGATGGCCAGCTGGGAAGCTTTATAAAACATAATGCTCTGCTGTAAGTTCTTAGTTGGACAGATCCAATAAAAGTGTTAATTTTTGACACATTACTATAGATTCAGTGTTTTTCTGTTTACAGTTATTGAAATTATTATTACCGAAAGTTACTAAAGACATTTGAATTTCTAAATAAATTATAGTACAGCAACTTAATTACCCTTTTTTTCTCTTACATGTCTAGAAGAAAGCTCAGATGAATGGTCTGGTGAACGACAAAGAAAACGCCACAGATCAGATAGTATTTCACTTTCTTTTGATGAAAGCTTGGCTCTGTGTGTACTAAGGGAGATATGTTGTGAAAGAAGTAATAGCAGTGACTCGACAGAGACTCCATCAAATCTGGTAATGTTCTTGTTTTAAATAAAATAAGGCTTTTATTTTTACAGTGTAGGTTGGGCAATCTGAATGAGCCTGAAGTCAGAATGCACATTTATGATACGAGATTGTTGCTGAACACAGAGTTCAGTTGCACAAAAATCTTTTATTTAGATCTCTCTGCCTCTAGTCCCAGGTTTAGGAAAAGAGTGGAAGGTTTAGGAAAATAGTGAAAGGTTTAGGAAAATAGTGACATAACATTGGGATTGGGAACATTAGTACAAATATTCATTGTTTTTTGTTTCTTTTCAGACAGGGTCTTGTTATATAGCCCAGACTGGTTTGGAAGTCCGAATCCTCCTACCTCTTGTCTTCTAAATGCTAGGATTATAAGCATGCACCATCATGCCCTGATAAACATTAATATTTATGTCACTTTATATGTTAGTCTTTAAGAGTGACTGCACCAGTAGATAATTTAGATATGTTGGCAGATAGAGGAATGAGAATTTTTTTCTCTTGGAAGCGGGAATCGAACTCGGGACCATGTGCTTGGCCAGGCAGGGCATGGTGCCACGCTATACCCTCGGCCCCTGAGAATTTTGAAGGTAACCTACTGCCTGCCCTTAACTATAGATAGTAAATGTTAGGGGTCTAATTGTTTTATTAGGTTATATAATTCAGTAAGTCCTAAAATGAGAAATATGGTGAGCAGATTTCAGAATTTTAGAAATAAATAAGTCTGGATATTTTTCAGAAGAAATTCTCAAGCTGGACTGGTAGCATGTGTGTAGTCCCATCTACTTGAGAGGTCAAGGCAGGATGCTTTCAAATTTGAGTACAGCCTGGACAACTTAGACCTTGTCTTTAAAAAAAAAAAAAAATTCTGAATTTGTTTTTAAGAAGAAAAACCAAAAAAAAAAAAAAAAAAAGACCATAGATTGCTTATAGACCAGAAGTTTGGAACTTAGTTCTTTCCCATCTTGCAAGATGACGGGTGAAAAAACTGAGAAGCTAGACAGTAAAGAGAAGAAACCCAAAGCCAAGAAGGCTGCTGCCAGTGGCATTGGTAAAAAATGAACATTAAAAAAGTCCAAGAAGGGACAGCCCCACTGCAGCCAAAATCATGTCCTGGTTAGCAGAATTGGTGGATACTCCCGATCTGCTATGTATTTCAGAAAGGCTTTGTAGAAGAGAGAGTACACAGCTGCTAAATTGAAGG